TTTATAGTGTCGCCTGCGCTCTTGCAGCCGAAGACTTGGCACGCACAAAGCTCAATATGTAAAAACTCCTTGCCAAAGCTCAAAATTCCACACCCGTCGAGACTGTATCCATCCTCTGCATTATCTTATCAACTTGTCCTGATCCCTCTCACGTCCATCTCAAGGAACTATCTTCCAGATTTGTGCGCCACGCTTTGCTTCCTCCAGCGGGTGTAAATATAGTCGTGGGCGTGTATCTGGCGACCAGCTGAGGCCAGAGAAAGTCGACGAGAGGTGTGGTCATTGAAACGAAGATGTACTAGGTCGTACTTGTAGACTTGATGAAGCTTAGTCGAGAATCGGACTTTTTTGGAGTGAAAGATTGACATGGTGGAGTAATTTGAATTTTTGCCTCATGGGCCAACTTCTTTGATATTACGAAATTTGACTGAACTTGGCTCTGGGAGAATATTTCATTCCCGGGTTCGAAGAGGACACCATGTACAGGTGTTCAGTCTTGCCCTCCACACTTGTACTTGTAGCACACACTTTCCACAGTTTTAGCTGTAATCCGAACATGACACTCTTTTAGTCAACTTGAACCTTCGTTCCATGAATATTGCGCTCATTTCATTGCGCGATATTTCCAACAGTCCAGTGCGGATACCATCCACTCCCTCACTAAGTGTGACAGAAACAGATTTGGTGATGAAATAATCGATTTAATAAACTTTATGGGGAGAAAAGCTAACCCTGGCTACTACTGCTAACAGGTATTTATAAGAGTTGATCCTCCTCGTGAATCTACAGACTAGTGACTTGTCTTTAGGCACAATACTTCTTACCTAGCCACGTATTTCCAGGTGTCACTAAGTTGTAATAATGCCTCAGCCTCCTGACTAGTAGTGCCGTATCGTTCAGCTTCATCTCCCCCCCATACAGCTTCATCGTAAGAATTCTCAGTATTGGGCTTAGGTATCCACCTAAGCTCAAACAACGGTCAAACCGTAACACTAAGGGCAGGAGATCATCTTTCCCCTACTGCCCTCTCTCTCCCTCATCGTGGCTTCGACTTCAAGCGTCAGTCGAAACTACTCTACCCTTACTTCTGTTGGATCCACTTTGTAATTCTAGCTATATCTTTCGCATTATTCAGCATCGCTGCAAATGACCGAAAATCTGCCCTTCTCAGTATCTCTCCGCTCTCGTTAGCCCAATCAGCACAGGCCATTATCGTGTGCTTGACATTCTGGGACGGATATCCACATTGGCATCGTGGGCTGCTTACCCCGGGAACATGTCTTCTGTGCAGATAAGAGTCAGACCCAATGTGCTCACTTCTTAACTGCATGGCTAAGCTACTTTGGACTTTGTCAAGGTTTTTGTGGATACTGATGGGTGTTCTTCTAGAGGTCATTGTCGTTCTTCCCGTCTTCTCATCTGTGTAAAGATTTGCTGCGATCCAGAATTTGGGATCTGCTGTGGCGTGGTGGTTAGTAGGCTGTTTTGCCCTCAATCTCGTCCAGGATCGTTCCCATTCTCTAAAAACTGCGACCTTTCCAGCTGCCTACTGTCGCTCCTTGGTATTTATACCTCCACATACTTGGCCCCACTCAGAAATGTCCAAGATCCTCGTGACAGCACGTGCATCTTGCCTTCCAGCTCGGGGTTGCTTAGACTTCCTGCGTGCCGACGATATTGTATCTTGAACCGGTAGGCTTTTCCATAGTCCAGCGTGTTGTACCCTCCTTTGTTTCGGATAAGTTTCCATCGGCAAGTTAGAGGTCTCATGCTCAAGTACCTCGCTGCTGGTCGAATTGTATGCTCCCATGACGATTTTTAGGCATCTCCTTTACATACTTCGAAGTGGCTTAATCACTCTTTCGGGAATTTTGCCGGCCATTCCGGGCTCGGCCCAAATGGGGATCCGTAGGTGATAGCTGGTCTCAATACCGCGTTGTACACAAGTTTTGCCTTGGGAGACTTTGCACACCCAGTTGATTGTGCCAATCTACCTAAGGCTTATATCTGTGGTTCGACTTTGAGCTGAATACTTTTGACGTGAGCGCCCCAATGGAGTTTCAGGTCGAGATAGATTCCTAGGGCACGGAGGGGCGGTTGCGGCCTCGCGAGATGGCCTTGTGTTTGGACTGTGGCCTGCGTATAGTGCCTCTTTCTAGGCCTTAAGAAGTGTATGAGCTGGTACTTTTCCGGAGCAAATTCTACACCGTGTCGCTCAGGCCACTTTTCACTTACACAAGGCATTGTAATTAACGACGCCGATTATAACAGTCTCCGTTGCCAGACAACCGTATCCAATCTACACTTTTGCTAGTCTCTATAGCTGGCTAGACAGTAAACACATATGGGATTATTCCCATAACAATCTATCCCCGATTTAAAAGGACCTGGCTTGTTTGGATCAATTTTCATTTGACAACCTTTCAGTTACGGGCTAGGCCCGGCTGGGTTCTGTCTGGGCTGTGTATGACCACAGGGCCCATCCTTGTTTCTTTTTTTTTGCATCAGGTTTTAATTGCGTATGCAGCTATCTAGCTATGACACAATATCGAAGAAAAGTACAGAATAGATGATTCAACGTAAAGGAAGAGCACTCATGCCTCAGATTTTATTTCCAAGTACCACTGCGAAGTAATGGTGGCTTTTTCTTCACCCCAAGTCAACCCTCATCCGTGAATACCCACCCAGGGGAACGTCTCAAAAACCCTGAGTTATTCAGACATGCCTCCATCATCTTTCATCTTTTCTTCGCGCGAAATGTAATCTGAGATGTCTCCTTCCCAAGTGGAGTAGGTGCCCAGGCTACTCAAACTATACCAAAGAACACCGCCAGGAGGCGGATCACAACACCTTCCATCGTTGGCTTGTGTTTATAGTGTCAGCTGCACTCTCGCAAGCGAAGTCTTGGCGCGCACAAAGCTCAACTCGAAAACCTCCTTGCCAAAATTCGGAATTTCACGCCCGTCGAGGTAATATCCTTCCTTTGCATCATCTTGTAAACTTGTCCTGATCCCTCTCACGTCCATCCCAAAGAGCTATCTCCCAGATTTGTGCTCCACGCTTTGCTTCCTCCGTCGGGTATTAATATCGGCGTGGGCGTGTATTTGGTGGTCAACTGAGGCCAGAGAAGGTCGGAGAGAGGTATGGTCATTGGGATGAGGATGTACTATGTCGTACTTGTAGACTTGATGAGACTTAGGTAGGCGTCAAACTCATTGGGAGCGGGAAAACGACGTGGTAGAGTAACTTTAAATTTTGCCTCGTGGGCCAACTTCTTTGATATTGCGAATTTTGACTGAACTTGGCTCTGGGAGAATATTTCACTCCCAGGTTCGTAGAGGACACCGCGCACAGGTGTTCAGTCTTGCCCTCCCCATCCTTGTTTCATAGGCGTAAGCTAATAGGTAAATCTTCGTAGGGTACTGAAGTACTAGCAGAGTACATGTAAATTCAAGGGATCTGGAATAGCTTCAGTAGTCATAAAGCGCTGTAGCTGCCCGCTCCTGAACTGCATAGAAAATATAAACATTTTATTATCGACTTTAAAAATTGTCGTCGACATTGTATGTGTAAGTCTGTTATCACAGATATTGGAAATAATTCATGAGATTGCTTAATGAGAGGCTAGTATTGATTCTGATATAATCTTGTAGAAGACTTGTCCCAACTATCAGAGGGCTACAACGTCTTTATCTATCTACAGGTCAATTCCCCATATTCCAACCACGCTAGCCATACAGGACGTAGCATGTAAAACTTGATTCGTATCATCATTTTGGGGTTGAGGTTTACCGTACAAATGCCACTCGAGTCGCATTTCTGACTACTATGCGACACGCTCAGGTATCAATCTAACAACCCACACCAAACCGAAACTATTCACAACCCTGATGATGACCCCATGAATAATTGGAACAATAGCCTGCAACATAGCACAATTAGGCCAGACATCGTTGACCAGGACCTAATCCGAACATTTTATCGTGGCATTGCTTCCGTGCACTGACCGAAAGTCTTAGCCTGTCACAATTTCTCACGGTGATAGCATGAATGAATGACAAAGACATGCTAGAATACCTAATCATCTTGAATATTCTTTTGGTGTGTACTTGGAGACTCAAGTCGATTGCTTGTGGTAACATTCACAAATGTAATCCAGTGTTTAAGTGTCTCTAAAGTCAAAAGATTCATCCAGTATCAATATAGGATACTAATCATGCATATTGCTGGATAGCTGCAGATACATTACATGATTTAAAAAGAAGAAAAAGCTTCTTATAAAGTCACAATACAAAACAAAAGTCCTAAAGCCTTCCCACTAATATAAGTTCCCTGCTAATCCTAAGTCTTGAGAAATCCAGAATTCGTCCTTCTGTTGTGCTTCGCCAGCTATAATCTTGAGTTGCAGATTTACACCTCTTTTATCGCGCTACAGTACTCTATCTTGTGAGTGAGGATAAATGCTTTACTTAGTGTCCGCGGATGGAATCTGGTTATATGGAAAAGTTCCATACCCGACTCCATTTCACAACGAGAGATCGCTTCGACCAAATCTCTTTCCAGCCTTTCAAGTAGGCGTCCAAGGCCTTCGTGCCGATAAATTACCCTCACCTTTCACAACAACGACGACCGGTTTTTGAGAGCTTCAACTTTGAATGCCGGCTTTATACCACTGTCTTGATGATTTGATGTCGTTGTTGTTGTGCGCCAAGCGTTGGGGCTGCTAGATTGCACTTCACCAGCCCCACACGCGTCACACATTCTAGCGGTGCTTCTTCGGTATGCAAGGTAGCTTAGTGTTGGGTAAACACCAGACTCACAATTTCGGGTAGATGAAAGCAGCAAATTCAAAGGCTGTGCTGCTTTTTGTGAATTATTGGCTTGTTTCGATTTTTGGAATTAGCCCATCAAACAATACTTCAGAAACACGACCTTTTTTCTGACTTTACGGTGAGATTCTACAAACGCTTCTTGTCAATTAAAATAGTCACAAAATTCCGTCATGCGCCTGCAGTCTTCTTATCGGTCCACGTTCTGTTTGGAATTTTTCCGGCTAATAAAAGTCGTGAGTGGTCAGTAAGTCTCCAATAACAGGCAATGGCACTCCGACATAATCTGAAATCAATCATACCTTCAATCAGCCCGATGGTCCTATTGAACGCCGAAATTATCTCATTGTACAGCAGATACTGATGCACGGCATGCCCGAAGTTTTCTCCGGAAATTCCAAATAAAATCTTATGTAGCTCAATGGCCAATTCCTTGACATCAACGAAACTGCTTGAGAATTTGATTTTGATTAGGTCCTCAAATTTCCATTCCATGTCATTTCTCTTATTTTCTACATTATCACCCATATCATCTGTGTCCCACGAATCTAAATTATGCATTGGCTGATCACTATCACGCCCATATTCTACGCATCCTGTTAGGAACACATAGAAAAATGATTCGAGGTCATAATTGGGATAATATCGGAAACCTCTATTCAAGCTTGATCGATATCCTGCGTTGCATAGCAAAATTCCAAACGCCATGTACTTTATTGTGCCTGCGAAACGTTTTAATTTTTTCGATAAAAACTCGTCATACAACGAAATTGAATTGTCAAGATCGATCAACATCCCTCTCGATCTATCCTCCTCTGATGGCGTTACTATAATGATGTTGCCTTGAGAGATATCACCGTGGGTAATTTCTTTCTCGTTGTAAAGACGCTGATGCCCCATGATTGCATCTCGTATGACAATGAGAAATTGTAGTACTGATCTACAAGATTTAAGTCGACGTCCGTATGGTGATACAACGACTCTATTTAGTTCGAAGTCGCTAAACTCCCTAGTTTTGTATGATTCTTCTTCATCAAAATCATCCCGTAGTTGTTTTTCTATAGCCATGTACCATCTTTTAGGACGCAAAGCAAGTAGATTTCCCCAATTATCAGTAAATCTATGAATGGTATCTGATGCCACTAAGTTGATCACACCCTTGACCGGGAGTGCTTCTTTTAGTAAGTCTATCTCGCCTTTTCCACAAATCTTGCGCCATGAATATTTGACTAGTAATTTATCATCAAGCGAGCGAAAGCAAGTGGTGCCATTGGAAAGCAGTTTTCGTGGATGGGTCAAGGGTTTAGGGTCGATTTCTATCTCTCTGGTCTCCCCAGACTCACCATTAGCAATTGTGATCATGGACCGTCCATCGACTCTGTGAATGGTAGTATCGAGACCCAGCTCTTCGTCACTCATAAGTAAATATGAGGAGATGGCACGGACCAAAACCTGCTCATCATCTTCGATGCTAATAAGTCCCGAGCTGAAAGCACCCGTTCGATCAATCAGCCAGAACTCAATTTCCTTATCGAACAAGCAGAATCCATGCACAAATCGACGCAGTGGCTGTCTAGTAAATATTTCCGAAACATAAGCTGCCATTTCGATAAACTTTATTTTCCTTCTATCTTTTGCAGGTTTCGAGGAAAATCCAGCTACCACCCTCACTTCTTCCCACTTAGCAGACCCTCGAGGCAGATCAATGCGTCTGATTTGGAAATCGAGCTGACCTTGACTATCGCACCTTCCCCATCCTTCTATGTCTGTTAAAAGAGAGATTCTTCCACGCAGCGGAATATCGTTTTCGTTTCTGATAAGGGTCGGAAAGTGCTCTGATGGTGGCCATGGAGATTCTGCAATCTGACTTAAAAATAGATTATTAAATGAAGCGAGCCAGTCCCAGACCCCCTGCTCAGCCAAGTTGAAGCGGACATTTTTAGGGTTCGAGTCATTTTTGTAATTTTTATAGCTCTGCCAAATCCTCTTTGTTTGATCAGACCAGTCTTTTCCTTCAAAAAATCTATCCCAAAATTTCAAAATACAGGTAAACGACTGGTAACCGAGTTCTTTTTCAAAGTATTCCGTGGGAGTGGCAGGAAGATGTGAACATCCCTCTGGAACATTGCGTAGGATTGAATCTAAGCTATTCTTGGGCGAGGATGGGTTTTTCAGGAAAGGAAGGGGTGGAAATAAGAAGCATGATAGGGTTCCAAGAAGATTAATGGAAGTTTGTAAGATGAAAGTATCGTCGTAGCCTTGTTCAATAGCACAAATGAGATGGTTAAATATGGAATGACTAGTTTCTCCTGCAGAAATACGAAGCATGGCATATATATACGGTATGTATGGTAACCCTTCTTCTCCGGAAGGATAGTGTGAACCGTACTTTTCCAGGCTAGAGAAAAAGTTTAAGAGAGCTGCTCTATTAGTTGCAACTTCTTCAAAATTTATGTAGTATTTACCTCTTGAAAGGCCATCCTCTTTGCTACGATTAGTCTGGAACTCCTCTAGGATTGGACGCATTGGCTTCTGAGCCAGAAGTTCGAGGGTCTTCGAATATTTAGACATGTCGTGTATCTGTGAGTGGAAGTGACAATGTTTGAAAAGTGAGTCGAGGAAATTTTGGATGGCGTCAGTAAACAAGAGGCAAATGCATCGTAAGACAAGGAGATCCCTTAACGATTGACCAATCAGGTGTAATATCTCATAGTGGGTCTTTCCTCTGGAGCTGTACCTTGTATCTTTCTGCAGCTTTGTAGCAGGGCCAACCGTCCCTTGTAGAGAGCCGGCAAAGACGAATTCTTCACCTTCCAGTGGTGCCGGTGTAATCGCTCAGTATGTTTGTGTTTAATGTGCTACTTGAGTCTATGACTATCTAGCACTGTAATCGCTCAGTAATCTCTGCATATCTGGGATAGCCAAGAAGAATCGCATCCAAATCGAAGTCGAAAGCACTCGCAAGCACATCTAAAATAGAAGACTCATCGTCAATGTCAGATCTATCATTCTCACGCGAGTTCTCCACCTCAATCTTTCCACACCACCTCGCCTCAAAAACCGATAATGGCGTTACTCCAATTGCAATCGGGCATTTGCCTCATCAAAAATCGGCAATCCCCCACTACACATTTACGATGCTATGTGAACCCGCGAGGAGGAATTCAAGTTATAATCTACAAGGCTCGGGTCTTGGTCTATGGGGGGCCGTTGCTCTAATGGGGCTTCACATCTTGAGGGAGGACAGGCAGCTGGGACGTGGGACGTGGGACTAAAGAGTGAAGAGGTCACAAATGGGCATGCTGGGACGCACATTTTTCGAGTGTCTTCGACTTAAGAATGTCTGTGGGTGCAGAAGCAACGATTTTGGATATTGCAACCGACACTCTAAAAATAGGCAACGATGGAAGGTGTTTTGGTCCGCCTCCTGGTCGTCATCTCCCCGGATTAAAGTCTGGATAGCCTGGACACCTACCCAACTCGAGAAAGGGAAGATTGTGAGGCCATATCTCGCACGGCAGCTATATACAAGATGGTAAAGGTATGTTAGGGTAGCCAAAGGTTTTTCATGTTTTCCCTTTGGTGGATATTAACGGTTGAGGGAAAGGTGAAAGTCCCTAGCACAAAGGTCTCGAGTGGTATCAGCGAATACGCCCACTACGTGAGTAGTCCAAATGTTAAACTGAGTTATCGTCGTATATAGTCGTCTGAGAAGCTAGTCTTCTCCGTGTCATGCTCTTTGTGTGCAGGGCTTGTGCCCGTCACGAATAAATTTTCATCATCATCATCCCTTGTAGAAAAGATTTTTAATTTTTTGCAATTTTGAATCAATTTCATCTGGCACACAGAATACAAAATGTACAGTAAACGATCTAATCAACAGGGTGAGTGTATATGACGGGCTTCTTTGAAAAACACAAGTGCGGTTGGAACAGCACCACGGAACAGTAGGCCAGGGACCCACGAAATGTTGTGGCTAATCTCTGCCTTTTCCAATCCACCTCTGATGTTACCTGTAAATATTGAACTGCGCAAAAGTTCTTGGAGAAATATTTGAAGTAGATTGAATTTTCTATCTTCCTAAGATGCTCTCTCACTAGCTTACATGCCATCAAGCTTTTTATCATATATCCCATCATCCCCTTCGAGTCATCAGCCTTAATTGGGTTGAACTCATTTAGGAAGGAACAGTATTCCATGTTAATCTTATCAAGTTGCAAACACTAGAATTTTTATTGCGAAGCGCGTTAGTTAGAGAAACAGAAACGACTGAATCTGGAAATTATCCAGTAAATCTTCAATCGATACATGTTCACTTGGCGTGCGCAAGAGTGGAGTGTTTCGACAGTATATGGCGCCGCCCATCGAGCGGCCGACACCCTTGTAGAATTAAACCATTGAGTACAGTGTGATTGGATCCCGGGGCTTCTTTGCATTTTTGTGTCTTTCTGGGCGCCAACATGTCGGCAACTGACTTATTCTTACGTACTCCATGCGCTTCAGGCTCCTCGTAGATTAGAAGTGGTGGAACGGGAGATGTGCTTAGCTTTGTGATGGTCTGGGTTATGGATGTCTCATGGCTCCACACTGCTAGTACCAAGGTGCCACGATGTGTGTCCTGGTCACGGGATATTGTGTTGAGAAGATTAGTGGGAACTTATTATGTAATCATGTATTAGCTTGCTTGTAACATTAGGAGTTTCCTGTTAGGATTATAAACGAACAACTTACATCTGACTTAACGAACTCCACAGGCATCCCGTGATACTTATTACAGGCGTGCTTTGAGTTCCAAGTCACCGTAAGCCACTTCGCAACCCCTACACATGAACGCACAACGATGTCAAGGAGGGCAAGACTGAACACCTGTACGCGGTGTCCTCTACGAACCTGGGAGTGAAAGATTCTCCCAGAGCCAAGTTCAGTCAAATTTCGCAATATCAAAGAAGTTAGCCCACGAGGCAAAAATTCAGATTACTCCACCATGTCAATCTTTCACTCCCAAAGAGTCCGATTCTCAACTAAGCTTCATCAAATCTACAAGTACGACATAGTACATCCTCATCCCAATGACCATACCTCTCTCCGACCTTCTCTGGCCTCAGTTGACCACCAAATACACGCCCACGCCGATATTAATACCCGACGGAGGAAGCAAAGCGTGGAGCACAAATCTGGGAGATAGCTCTTTGGGATGGACGTGAGAGGGATCAGGACAAGTTTACAAGATGATGCAAAGGAAGGATATTACCTTGACGGGCGTGAAATTCCGAATTTTGGCAAGGAGGTTTTCGAATTGAGCTTTGTGCGCGCCAAGACTTCGCTTGCGAGAGTGCAGCTGACACTATAAACACAAGCCAACGATGGAAGGTGTTGTGGTCCGCCTCCTGGTGGTGTTCTCTGGTATAGTTTGAGTAGCCTGGGCACCTACTTCACTTGGGAAGGAGACACCTGAGACCATATTTCGCGCGAAGAAAAGATGAAAGATGATGGAGGCATGTCTGAATAACTCAGGGTTTTTGACACGTTCCCCTGGGTGGGTATTCACGGATGAGGGTTGACTTGGGGTGAAGAAAAAGCCACCATTACTTCGCAGTGGTACTTGGAAATAAAATCTGAGGCATGAGTGCTCTTCCTTAACGATGAATCATCTATTCTGTACTTTTCTTTGATATTGTATCATAGCTAGATAGCTGCATACGCAATTCAAATCTGATGCAAAAAAAAAAAAAGATGTCAAGTTTTCAGTGGGGCTTTGGCTGGGGCTTTAGCGTGCAAACTAAGACACCTTCCATATTGGGGTTAGCCCCCGTATTTGTGCAAATTTTTGAGGAATATTGTATGTGTCGGTTGGTAATATACACGTGTACGCGTACGCAATGGGTCTGGATGATGTGACGATTCTTGCTCTTCTTCTTACCTAGAGGCGTGTCTTTGTTTGTTTGCATTTAACGCCAAGTAGGCCCGCGGGTATGACCCGGCCTTTCTGCCCATGAATGGGCGTTTGGCGTGTCCGCATAGCCTATTGCTATCGGACAATTCTATCGTCTAAAGACCACAATATTCTCTCTTTTTTCGCAATTAATGCTCAATATTATTGTAAGGTAGAGTCCTAGCCCACTCTATTCGTGTCGGTTCCTCCATGCCCAACTCCTTGCTACTTTCCCCACTTCTTTTTTTTTAAAAAAATGTTTATGATTAAATTACAAGTTTATTTAGTTCTTTCAAGGTAATCCTATCAATGTCTCCACAATCTTGCCTCTACACTGTGAAACCTTATTATTTGTATGGATGAGCTGTGTTGCACCATTTCCCGAATTCTATCGCCCCTGTTGTTGGGCCGAGGACGCACATGATGTCCCCCTCCTTACCGCGAGATGGACGTGGCTTAAGAGTTTTACTCTGGTCAAGTTTCCTGTATACGAAGGGGTGTTCTGGAGAATTCTCCTCTCCACAGATACACAATAGTTTGGCGTCTTGGTGCTGGAGTCGTCTGTGATACATGGCGTAGACTCCGTGAGCGGAGCGGGCCGCAAGGAGTAATGCGAGATTTTGCCGAGATAATCTCAAGGCGAGGTTAGGACAGTGTTCCACAGGGTGCGTATGTGGTCCAACGAAGATCTAGGTGGTAGATGAAGATGTTGAGTGGGTCGAAGGGATGACCGGTCTTCTCTAGGAAGAGACAAATAGGTAGATTGTAGCGATAGAGGCTACACGTGGGTCTTGCTGATGAAGAGCTGGAAATAGATAAATGGTCTTTCCGAAGAAGAGATGGGTAAACAAATGTATGGTTAAAGTAATTGAAGAAGACGTTGCGTGAAGAATAATGCTTCTTCACGCCGAGTATTTATATACATAAAATTACCAAATAGCACGTAGCACACAGCCCTTATGCCCAACAATCTGCTACAAATCATGTTCACACTTAATATATACATTATGATTACGGGATAAATAATATATGGGTCACATATTTACCTGACTGTTAGTGGTCACCAGTTGGGCAGGAAGTCTGCATGACATGTTATGTTATGGAAGATCAAGGTCACGTGATGGTGGCCTTCGGATACTAAATAGGAGGCGGGAAGATAGATCACTCGCTCCGTTCAGGACACGAGTAGAAGATATTAGTATTGGCTCTACAGAGCTGGATCACTCGTGGACTATGAATGGTGTATATATGACTGGATATGTGTATTGTAATTTTGTTAAGTCTTTATTAGTATAACAATTGTTATTTTATTCCAACACATCACCTAATGAAACCAGCCCATTCTCATCAGTCTTCCTTGCTGGTTTTAGAAGTGCATTGAACAATTATTTGTGTTTTAACTTAGCCGTCCGCATGGTGTTTCATAATACGCTATGCCACAATGATACATGAAAGATACGGTCTGTAATTCCTCAGACATTTGTCCTGTCATAGGTATCTTCAGACTCCTATATACTCGGAGCGTGTTCCTTCCAATATTGGGTGATGCCTCTCTCGTGCCACTCCTTTACTAGGCTTTTGTGTTATGAATTTGTTAGATTTAAACTGGATGTGGTGATGCAGGGGTTATCTTCTTAAT